TAATATTTTAGTTATTCTAGCATTTTTACTCGATAAACAAATACGTCAAGGTGGAATGTCAAATTATTTAATTATTAATTTAGCTGTTAGTGATTTATTATTAGGTATAGCTGTTCTACCATTATCAGCTTCATATAGTACATTAGGATTATGGTATTTTGAAAGATTTTTATGTGAAATGTGGTTAGCTATCGATGTTTTATGTTCAACAGCATCCATATGGGTAAGTATTTTTAATTATTTTTCTATTTTTTTTTATCAATAAAAACAAATATATATATATATATCTTGAGGAACAATAATATTATCAATTATTTTTTTTAGGGTTTATTAATGATTGCTTGTGATCGTTATATAGCCACAAATCATCCAATTCGTTATCGTCATCATCGTCATTCATATCGTATTGCTCTTGGCTATGTTTTTATTGCTTGGTTTGTTAGCATTGCTATTTCTCTTTTACCAGCATTATTTTTCGAAAAAAAGACAACAATTATTATTGGTAATCGTACAGTATCCGTTGTACCAATTAAATATTCAGCTACAGAGAAAAAATGTGATTTATATAAAGATTTAAAATTTGTTGTTACAAGTTCAATTTTATCATTTTATTTTCCATTAATTATTATGATATTTCTCTATGCAAAAGTTTTATATGCAATTCGACAACAATCAATGAAAATGAATAAAAAACGTCAAATAACATCATCAACTAAACAGAATAGTGTCAAAGATACAGAATATCAGAAAAAACAGATATTAGTTAATGTTCATGAAAATAATAATGATACGACGACGACAGGTAAGAATAAAACAAAAAAAAAAAAATGTTTTTTATTACTATACATAGAATAAAGATTGTCAATGTTGATCTAAATTTTTCTATCAGAAAAACAATATTTTTTTTTTTTTATTATTTATCCAAAGTTTGGACAAAGAAAGTTCGTGTAACTGTTGATTTAATTAAGATATAAATGAATGAGTGACGATCAATAGGATTAGACAGATTCTATTTGATGTTTTTTACATATCATAAGAATAAATTGCAAAGAATTTTGTCTCCCATCAAAATTTTGATAGTGTTGACACAATGTTTTGTTGATTCTTCGACATTCAATGAAGTGGTGAAAAAAATATTTTTATCTTCAATATTTCCGTTTAATGTGTGTATTTTATTCTAACACTCGGTGTTAGTGTGGTGGATTTAGGACCAAAACTTTTGATTTCATACTATTATATACTCTCATTCTTGTGTACAACGTGTCAAGCACAAAAGAAGTAGAAATTATGTCGTCTTAGAAACTTCTAAGTAAAATTTCTAAACTTGCTCTTTTACACAAATTCGCTAGCATCAGAAACATTTTATTTTCTAGATCCACCACTGGTCGGTGTAATCATTAAAATATGCATACACTGCCCATTGATATACAGTCTAAAACAGTTAACGTAGCAATAATAAATTGATTTGAGAGAATTTCTTTTTTAGTTTTTGTTTACTGGTACATAGAGGTGGAATAGTTCCAGTTCTGTTATTTTGAACGGGAACTGGCAACAATTCACGTTCAAAAGAACGAGAGCTGCTACTAGTTCGCGTTCAAAAGAATGGGAACTGCTGGTATCAGTTCTTTTCAAAAATTTAAAATTGAAATAAAACCGGTGAATCTACTTACATTGACTTTGTGTAGTGCACCAGAGGTAGATGATGTATTTAGTTGACTAAACCAAGTCAATATAACTAGCTACATTAGTTTTATTTTATTGTGAATTCTTGAAAAGAACTGGTCACCAGTTCCCGTTATTGGTGACCAGTTCTTAAGAACTCTAGAAACTGAAACTGTCTCCCATTCCTACTTGTACATCAAATTTTTATAAAATGTTTAATTTCATGTTCTAGAATATACGCCAATATCAAATGAGACGACACCATCCCATTCATTTAAAAATAAAAAATCGAATAATTCAAAATTTCATCAATTTTGTAAAATATTTCGTCATCAAACATTAACTTCTACAGATGATAATCATCCCGATAATTATCGTCAAAAACATAAACGTTCAAATTATTTTAAATCACTTATTTGTTTTCCAAAATCGTCCTTTACATTCCGTCGTACAAGTCAATCATCTATTACAGGAACTGAACAAGAACTTACACAAAATGGTGAACAAATACCAGGAAATATACAAAATCAAAATATTCGTTTATCACGTCGTGATAGTGATACACAACATCAACAACATCGACGTGAAATGACACAAGAAGCACGTGTAACACGTTCATTAGCTGTGGTTATTGGTTGTTTTATTTGTTGTTGGCTACCATTTTTTACATTGTATATTACACGTGCAGCATGTAATTGTCTTAGTTTTGAAGCTATTGAATTTTTTGTTTGGTTAGGCTATTCAAATTCATGTTTGAATCCGGTGCTCTATGCAATACTAAACAAAAATTTTCGTTTAGCATTCAAAAATATTATTATGTCTGTGAAAAAATTATGTTGTCTATTTAAATTTTCTCATTAAATATGACTATAAAAACAGAAAATTTTTTAGAACTGTGGCAATGTTTTGAATAATTGGGACAGAATGATTAGAATACGAGTAAGAAATGAATATTATATGGATAAAAAACAAAAAACATGTATAAATAACTTGATAATAGTTATAAGAGAAAACAATTGAGATGATCTGATTGACTAACTCATACGAAATAAAGACGAAAACAAAAAATAGATTCTATTCACTAATGATTTTCTCTAGTATAGGAAAATACCAAGGCTATCTATTGTAAGAAGATCATTAAATTCCTTTTTATCAAGTTATTATATTGTTCAGTGCACTGTGTAAACAAAGACTATACAGATGGGATTAGAAAAAATGAAGCAATGAGGTGCAAAATAGAGAGTGTCATTGACAAACTTCAAACATCTAAGAGTCATCATGTAGTGTCTGTCTGTACTCATTAAATATTTTGTTTAATTTTCTTTTTTTTGTTTTTTTTGATATTCTCTCGTTTGACTAAGTGATTCATTGGGTTTTTGTTTTTTTTTATCAAACAAATAAATAAATTTTCTTTATTTTAAATTAACAACATATATTTTATTTTTCATTCTATATAAATTTGTCACTGTTTCGACTCTTCAATCAACTTTTATGAACGAATGATCTTAAATGAGTTGTTTGTTTTTTTTGAATATATGTTTGAATTCATTTTGAATGATACCATATCAGATTTACTCGTTTTTATCCACATTAGATCATTAATAGATCATTTAATCTTGTTAAAAAAAGACTGTTGATCTAACGAGGTTCTCTATGGACACCATTTTTTTCGGATGACGACGATAATCATAATAATAATAATAATAATAAACAAAATAAATCAGTTGTTTGAGAAATTCATGGATTAATGGTTTCTCGTTCACTTTACATAATTAGTTCATCTGCACTATTTTCCCTCATTACCGTTGGCATGTTATTCGAGACGTACAGAAGATCGAAAGATATAGTAGTACAGATACACCGTTTAATAAGAGATTATCATCGAGTTATTCTAGGTTCATCAGTAAACTAAGATAAACATTGAAATCTTACAAACTTTGATTAAACTTGATTAATTTTACATAAAAATTAAAATTTTTCTATTCAAAATGAATTGTGTGGACAAGAGAATAAAAAGTAGAGATTAGAAAAAATTAACATGACTATTCTATTCATTTTTTTTTAATTTTTGGAAAAGAATCGTTTTATTCTATACACATCTTTTTTATTCACTACTGGTATCACATGAAAAGGTCAGTATAGTTAACAATGGTTAAAATATGTTTTCTAGTGTAACGTAGCGTATATAGTACAAATGTCTAGTCTATGAACAGATAATTAATAATTAATTCTCATATTGTCTAGAAATATCATGTACAAAAACAAAAACAGGGGGAATATTACTTTCTTTTACAAAATTGAGTAATTTATTCTACGATTCTCTAAATCACTATATATGTCATTCAGTTAATAATAATTTCATTTTTTTTACACCATATATAATCAATTCCTAGTTTAAATTTTGTTTTTTTTTTATTTTTTTTTATCGTTACGAAGAATGAATGAATATATACACCCCATATCTAATTTATCTTTATGAAGATTATTATTTATCTTTTTTTTTTTGTATTAAAAAAGAAAAAAAAAATGAATTAACAGGAACTCATTTATTCATACTGTGACAAATGCAAAGAAAAAAAAGCATCCATAGAGGAATCCGGTTATTTATTTTCTTTAAAAACAAAACCTTATATTTTAATCACGTTTACAAGTCTATAGATAAAGAAATAAAGAAGTAAACGTAAATAATAAATAGAAAGATATATGGATATGAAAAAAAACAAAAAAGGAAAAATAAGAAATACCAAATGAAATGTCGATGTCGTGCATACTAATTGATAAAGATAGAAATAGATAGTAGTTCAAAAGTTAAACAACTATAAACAGTATTGAATTTATAATTTAATTTATACCACCCTCATATATTTTGTATGTGAGATGGTGACTAATTTTTCTTTCTTTCTCTTTTTTTTTTTTTTTTTTTTTTTTTGAAAAAAAAAAAAAAAAAAAAAAAAAAAAAAAAAAAAAAAAAAAAAAAAAAAAAAAAAAAAAAAAAAAAAAAAAAAAAAAAAAAAAAAAAATTTTGATATTTTAAATCAATCCCGCAAAATACAACCTTTAAAAAATATTTCTGCCTGGTTTTTTTTTTTTTTTTTTCTTCTTCATTTCGTGTATGAATTCATTCTTGACTCGGTCCTTCATTTCAGAACACAAAGAGAAAAGAATTTTACTCTATATATTTACATAAATTCAAGTCAGCATACTTTTTTTTTTTTTCAAGTAAACTAGTGAGAGAGAGAAAAGAGGAAGAGTGAAAACAAGAAATTCATCAATTATTGTATACTTTATCGTCTTATTCTTCTTGTATTGTGAAGGAATGAAAAGCTAATAGTAACAGATTGCTAAAGACAAATCTATGAAAAAAACAACAACAACAACAGAAGCAAACTAAACAAGTTTAACTTGTTCAAATCCCATTGCAATAAAATTTTCATTTAATGCTTTCTAAACACATACATTAAGTTAAATCAATTTGAATTAGTAAGAGATGGAGATGGTGAAAGGAAATAAGAAAAGTAAGATAGACCTATTATTTTCTTCAATTTAAAATACATTTTTATTATTGTATCCTCAATTTTTAGAACAAGGCTACTATTTAACATTTAACAGAGAAAGAAAAGTAGAAATAGTTTTTTGTTTTTTTAGTGATTTCCGTAACAATGTATATTTTATATTTATTTCCTAATTATAGAAATCCTATATGATAAATAATCACGAAACATAAAACACATATCTAATTTTTAAGACTAATTTATGTATAAACACAACAACGCATCTTTTATGAACTCTTATGAACACTTTGCGTGATAAGGTTAGTTTTTAAAAAATAAAAAAAAAGGGAGGAAGTTAACTAAATATGTTGAATGGTGTTGAAGATATACACACACACACACACATACAAAGAAGAAAAAGTAAAACAGATGATTTTTTCATCTCTTGATGATAGATGATGAGTCGTCAGTGACTGATTCTGATATATTGACACAAGAAAAACAAAATATACATGTATCATTGATAAAAACTAATTTTTATAAAAAAAAAAAAAAAATTCTACTGTTCTATTAAATAACTATTATTACTAACTAGATTATAATGACCTTTAATCGATTAAATATGTTGAAAAATTTTTTATGAAAAAAGATCGGCCAGTTTAATATACAACAGTGTATATTTTCATACGACTCACGGGATTTGTCTTGTTAACACGTTCAGAGATCCAAGTTCTAAAATAGAAATTGATGAAAACGTGTCTTTCTGATTCTTTTTTATTTTTTTTTTTTTTTGTATTTATTCAACTCAAGTTAAACGCATTTCTCAAAATATTGGCATATTTTTCAATTAAAAATTTTCCCAGCTAAGTAATTTAAAACGAAGTGAAATTGAAGGTCTGTAAGTTTTTGTATACCTTTTTCAATGAGAAAATTTCCTGCATAATTGACATGATTACAGAGTTAAGACGAGAGAAGAAGAAGAAAAAAAAACGATGTATTGTTTTCTTTTTACCTAAATAGAAGATGAGAATTTCTGTTTTTATTCTCAATTTATACTGTTACTATGCTAATAGTACTCTTTTAGATAATTATAATATAATATAGTGAGAAAAAAAAGAGAAAAAAACAACAACAACTAAAAACGCTTACACTGTTGAAACTAATATTACTACATTTTATTTTATCATGAATTGAAGAAAGTTACTGATATAATAATTCAACTGTTCTTTTTTTTTTTTTTTTTTTTGTTAAAAATTTTTTTTTTTTTTTTTTTTTTTTTTTTTTTTTTTTTTTTGGCAAATAGAAGAAGAAAAAAATTGAACACATCTTTTCTTGAAAAAATGTCATTGTCAAAGGTAAAAGATATATTTTTAATGTGTACATAACAAAGAATAAACAGAAGAATGTCTCTTCTTCGTTTTTTTTTTGTCAAATATTTATTTTGTCTTTTGTTCTTCTCGTGAGATTAACTACAATTGACACTCATCTAACCTTTTTCTTTTTTTTTATCATTGGCCTAACTCGAATTTTGGGTGTAAATGATCATCAAACATTTTCAGCATACACTCACATTTTTATGTCTTCTTTTATTTTAGTTCTTTTTTACGTAATGGTGAAAACCGTGACTGTTTCACTGCCGATATTCGCTCTAGTATATCCGGTGTTGTTGTCCGTTCGATTAAATTGCGTTATTTTATTCATCTCTGTGCGTCATATTTAATAAATTCTATAAAATTTAAATTATTTTTTTAACATATTCTATTCCTCTTATCCCTCTCGCTCTCCTTATGACCCTAAAAGTCTGGTCACAAAAGATTCAACAGTAGTTGTAGCCTTCTTTAAAAAGAAGTGAAATAGACATGCACCAGTTAAAAACTGGTGTTACAGCGTCCACGAAAATTGTTATAAGTCGTCTATAAAGAATTACTCAGAGTTGCGGAACCTCTTATTTTGTAGAAAAAATGTTTGAACTACAATCCCATATAAGTAGAAAAATCTCAACGTTATCTGTGATACAAATATGAGCATTCTAAAATGCATTAAATACAGAAAAAAACGATTCGAATAGTTTTATTTTCTAACTTTAGTATATTTTAGAATGTTCATATATTTGCGCTAGAAACAATTTCAAATTTTTTTTCACAGTTAGATGTCTAAGAACAAACAATTCTCTACAAAATGAGAGGTTTCGCGACTCTGAATAATTCTTTATAGGCGAACTTATAACAATTTTCGTGAAAGTCCTAAACACCAGTTTCTAACTGGTACATGCCTGAAGTGAAATGAAGTGCAGTATCTTATACACACGGCACAGAGTCAAGAACTTGGAAATCCTCTATAAAGCATAATTCATTCTACACTTCATTTTTA